GTTCGCTTACTATTGTATCGCGCCTAATCTTGCCCATCTCTACTTTATATCCTAATCCCCATATATTCATTCCTATTCTGATTGGAGAAAATTTCCCCAACTCTTATTTTTCGCCGCAACGATTTCCTTTTTGAACTCGTTTATGGCATTCCTATACACTCTAATATCATAAGCGTCGCGAGTACGCAAGGCTAAGGCGATGAACGAGCTTCTTTTTGGCCTCCAGCTCCTTCGTCCACCATTTTTGTTTCCTATTCTTCCTACTTTTCGGCTTAACTTCTGATTTCGTTATAGCCTGTTTGAATCTACTTTCTAACCTAGCTACTTCATCGTCTAAATTTTCTCTTGGGAAATCCGACCTGGTATTTTCCAGGCAAGTTCGGAATATCTCCCAGTCTTGCCTGACTCTACCTTTTTGTGCCTTAACTCCAGGGTTTGAAGTATTCCCACGGAGTTCGAACACAATAAACCTGTGGTCACTGGTTATGTCTGTATCCAAGACATCCCAGTTCACAAGCCAATTACTTACTTCCCTACCGGCTAACGTAACGTCGATATTTGTTTCCCTTTGCGAGTTAGCAAAGGTAGTCAGACACCCCTCCCTGTTGACGACATGAAGATTATGTGAGGATATAAATTCCTCCACCCCCCCTGATGTCGTCATGCCTACTCCTGCTGTGCCACCATTGGGAGTGTGCATTCACATCTGCCCCAATAATGACCCTACCGTTCCTATTTCCTATTCCTATAAGGGCTCTTTCTAGCCGTTCTACGTGCTCCGCGGTAGGCTGTCTGTATTGGAAGTACGCGCTGACTAGAACGCACTGACGTATTCCCTGCCCACTTATCTCCGTTACAACGCAATATTGATCTGATAAATAACATCCACGTCTTTATTTAAGACAACAATGGCCGCCATAGGGTTACCGCGGTCCTCATAATTCCCTATGATAATCCTATCTTTAATTCCGAACCCCGGAATACTCTTGAAGTATCCGTATGGTTCCTGGATCAATAAAATATCTATTTGCCTTTCCAAGGCTTCTCTTCTGACTAGGTCCGTTGCCATTCGGCAGCGCGCGAGGTTAATTTGTGCGATCCGGAGATCACACATAACGGAACCTATCCTCCCACCTTCTAAACTCCCTTATGTAAACATCGCATAATTTGCTAGTGCTCATGTGGCCGCCATTGCCACAATTCGCACATCCTACTCTATTTTTACAAATAGTTGAAAAGTGGCCTTCCTGTCCGCATTTCAAACACCTAACTGGAGCACGACGTGCCCTGTGCCCATATTCGAAGCACCTAAAACATTGCTTTAGGGTGACACAGTTTGTCACCCAACAAGCATTGCTCCCTATTCTTACTTTTTTCTCTTGAGGAGAGCATTTCTCGTGACAGGATGTACCTCGATTACTACTTCCCGTTTTCCTTCTGCTCGTCTTTTCCAGGCCCTAATCCTACACGGCTCTTTAACACCACTGTGTTCCACTATCCTATTGATAAGAGAATTCTTCTCTATCCTCTCAGGCACCCCGTGGACGACTAGCCACGGTTTCTTGCATGAGGGGATATCGTTATTCCCAGTACGTGTTTTCTTCGTACTGTTTTCTTTCCTTCTCCTTTTCACAACCGTCCAGCCGATTGTGTCTTCAATCGACGCTGGCTTATCTCCTGAGTCGGCGGCTTCTGTTACTTTAGCCGGTTCCTCCTCCGTCGGATCATCGCGACCGCTTCCTCGATCGCCTTGTCTAGAGAATCCGATATTCCCGTCATCCCTATATTTGTAAACGGGTCAACTTCCTCCCCATTCTCGATCCCGCAGACTACTTCCTCTATTCGTCTGTGTTGATCTTCAGGGATTCCTGCAGACCCGATTAAAGCGAACAGGTCTGCTTCCTCTATCGCTTCCTCGAACCTATCCAATTTACAAGCCTCTAATGTCTCTATTCTACCTACCAACTCCGACTTGACTTTTTCTATTTCTCTCTTCGACTCTTTCCTGATCGAATCTATTTTTTTACATATCTTATTTTCCCTTTTTTCCATTTTTCTTAAGAGTTTCTTTATTTTTTCCTGACAATCGTTATCGAGAATCATTCCTAGTTATATCGGCGAACGCGTTTACTAAACATTCTAGTTCGGTCATTATAAGGGTACGTTTCCACTGCCCGCGAAGCGATGCGATGCGAAGCGAAGAGAATGACGGCGCGAAGTTCCAAGCGATGCGATGCGATGATGTGTTTATACTGCTAGCGNTGACGAGGTGTGACACAACAAAGTTGAATAATGAAAATTTAAATACTCTTTTTATTTTTAAGAAAGAAGAAAATAAAATGTGCCCGGTGCGAACATACCGCCCACCTAAAATGAATATTTTACTAAATAAAATTAAAAAAAAAATAATGAAATAAGTAAAATAAAATGAGCCACCTTGGCGAAGGGAGGTATTTACAAGGGAAGGAGGATTTTAAATAGAGGAGGATTGAGGGGGAGGAAGAAGGACCAACTTGTTGGAGGGTCTGACGTATAAGCCGCTGGAAGTGCGGACCGAGACGACCCGTACAACGCCGTCGGAACCGGGATGCACCTCCTCGACGCGCCCTATAGGCCAACTAAGATGGCTAGAGTTGGTGCCATGGAGGTAAACGATATCACCTTCCTTTAGATTTTCCGGATTTCGAGTTCATTTATGTCGCTGTATTTGCGTGTGGAGGTACTCTTTTGACCACCTTTTCCAGAAGAATTGGCAAAGTTGGTTGATTCGACTCCATCGTGTTTTGAGATTTTGATCTAAATCTAAAGGCGGTTCAGGAGGAGCGATAAGAGGGGCGCCTACAAGAAAATGACCGGGCGTCAAATAATCAAAATGGTCGTGAGGGTCGGACGAAACGAAACACAGCGGTCGACTATTTAATGTTGCTTCGATGCGACACGGCAATGTGGAGAACTCCTCGAAGGTCAACGGGCCGTCACCCACCATCCTGCCGAGAAGACACTTTGCACTTTTGACGCCGGCTTCCCAAAGCCCGCCGAAATTCGAGGCGCCTGGAGGATTAAACGTCCATGTAAACCCTAAGGAACAACAATGGGAGTAAATTTCTTGTTCGTTTTCCTTTAAGAAGGTGGCAGCTTCCTTTAACTTGTTCGCTGCTCCAATTAAATTTTTTCCGCAGTCGGAGAACATCTCGGCTGGGAGTCCGCGGCGGGCGACGAAGCGGTTTAAGCACGCAAGGAAGGCCGAGGTGGTGAGGTCAGATACCGCTTCCAGATGGGTAGCCTTGGTGCTCATACACACGAAAAGAACCATATAACCTTTCGTTGTCGAGGCGTTCCGCCTTTGGCTGAACTTTATTGGAAAGGGACCAGCCAAATCTACGCCCGTGCGGAGGAAAGCTCTCGAACAGACGACACGAGAGGGAGGGAGATCAGCCATCATCGGCTGGCGTGGTTTTGCCTTCAATCTGTGACATCTGTGGCAACTAAAAATAATCTTGCGAAGAAGAGAGCGAACGCCAATGATCCAATACTTTGACTGGACTCAATACTCCATACAAATAAGAGGGGCTAAGGGGGATGCTGATGGAATTAATAATGGGTGCTTTGAATCAAAAGCGATGTCGGCAAAACGAAGGCGGCCGCCCACCCTCAAGAAATTCCGGGTGTCCAAAAATGGCGCGAGGGGACGCAAAGATTTGTGAAGCGGCGAACCTTTGTCCTTGACGGATTTTATGTCATCAGCATAAAATGACCTTTGAGCAATTCCAATGCAAGTCAACAGGGCTTCANGTCGGCTTCTTTGAAGTGAAATAAGCCGACAAAGGGGAACAATGTGTTAGTAATAGTTCGGCCAGATTGTCCTTTCAGGATTATAAAGAAAGGGGATAAATAGGAAAAGGAAAGCTAAATTGTTGGAAAATTAGACTATGTGAAAAGTAGTTAATGTGTGGAATGTAATGTAATGATGAATGGGAATGAATATTCAGGCACAAACCAGACATAAACCATTACAGACACGTCAGCTACCTTTCCAATATTTGCCTTAGACTATGTCTTCTTTAACCTGGTCATTGCATAATGAACAAATTACATTTTCTCTAGCCCAAAAAGGTTCACCATTTAGTTAAAGATTTTGAATAACCACAAGCTTTTAGACCTGTCGTTGGATAGGTTAAATATGTTAAAATCATCTTGGTAAAGTTCCTTATAGAATAAAAATCGCGAGGTTGATCTCACTTGTTCACGAAGTTCTTCACTGAAATTGACAATCAGTTTTGTTATAATTTCCTTAAATTGCAAAGGCCACTCATTCAAGTTATTTATAGAAAATGATGAATCACATGATAGATCCCTACACATGCTATTCCAACGTTCAAACCACAATGCACCACGATTAACGACTTCCAGGGCTACTATTTTGGAAAGACGGTAATCAGGATATTTCAATAGTTTAAAGATGTAATTAAAATAAAGTTTGAAGGTATATAAAAATAACGGGTTAACTTTATTCTCTAAATAAATCATAAAATTCGGGGTGGTTTTGGGAAGGGCAAATAACTTTCTAATGAAAATACATTGAGTTTTTTCAAGCTGTTCAAATTTTTCGGTTCAAGGACGGGGTTCGGAACATCAGACGCTTTCGAGGAGCAAACAAAATTAACTGTGGAACTATTGGGGTGATCGGTTGGTACAACAATGCTGTTTGGCGGTCGGAATACAGGTGTTGACGCAGGCGGTACTGCAACAACGTCGCGGTGTAAAAGTGTATGATGTAAATTCGAGTTGCATTTGAGGCATGTTTTTGTCGAACCGCATTTGCTGCGAAGGTGGTTTCCTAAACAATTAAAACACCTTTTAAGGGATTTGACCGTTTCGTATTTGTTTTCGACAGTTTGTTGTTGAAATGCGCGACAAGAGGGCAATGAATGTGGTGTTTGACACAGAGGGCATAAAGAAACGGAGGTCGGAGTCCAGGCTTATCAACAAAGACGTTGTTTTTCCGAGCTATCAAAACATGGGACTTTCTTGAATATTCTAATTTTTTCGGGGTTGCAGATTGGGAATAAGAGGTGGAGGTTTCCACATCCTTCACGTAAGCTTCATGGTTTCTACAACGATCGGTAATAAAATCAATGAGGTTTTTATGAGTGGGAATCGAGTTGACAGGAGTCGAGCTTTGAAACTTTCGTTGAGAAACGGGGTCTAGGTTGTGAAAACTTTGGTTGAAGAGTATAAAATCGGCCACGTCTGGTAAATTTAAGGATTTAAGTGCATTTACGCAATTGCAATGAGCTTTAAGAAAATTCTGGTAACTCTTATAAGAGTTATCTTTGGCGGGAACAAAGTTGCGAATTTGCTTGACGTAAAGATTAGCTAGCCTTGTTTTGTTTTGAAATCGATCAATGAGACAATCATATGCGAGCTTATAATTTTCAGGAGCGATTTTGAAATTAGAAATTACTGCGGCCGCATCGCCCTTTAAGTGAGTGCGAAGGTTCGCGAATTTTTGTGCGTCGGATAAAGCGGGGTTTTTATGAACAGATACCTCGAATAAAGCATGAAAATCATCCCATTCCGAGATGTTTCCATCAAAATTTGGTATGGACAGGGGCTTTAAAAGAGTGACCTTGGAAGAATCGGTAGGACTTTCTGTTTTAATCTCTTGTCCCGAAAACTGAGGAATGCTTTTAACTGTCGTGTGGTATTTGCCACGAGCTGAAAAAAATAGATCGTCGAATGATTGTTGAACGACACAAGTAGGAAGGGCCAACGTTTCGTCGGTTAACGCGCTATTGTATTCAATTATTTCGTCCTGAATGGCCTCAAATTTTTCTTCAATTTTTATTAATTGTTCGTACTGCGGTTGAAATGAGACATAATTATCATTCGAAATTTCTTTAAAATTGTCGGCGATTTTTGTGAGAGAGGCGTAAAGATTTTCTCTTTTTTGTTTAAGATAATTCAATCGTTTTACAATCGCATCCGCCTTTGTAAAATTAAATTGAAAATAAATAAATAAATTTAAAACGAATGTAATTGAGATAAAATAAAACTTGTCGTGGAAGAGGTGAATGTCCCTGCCCCGATCAGCTGTTGGGTCGTGGACCAAGTGAAGAGGGGAAGAAATGATAAGAGGATGAACACCTGGAGGGAGAGCTTCGCAGAGGTAGGACACGAACAAAGCCGATTTTTCGCGAAGTCACGAAATTACTTGAACGAAACGTGGGGATGAAAAATCGAGAAAAAACCGTTAAAAATGGGTATTTTGTGAAAATTGAATTTTTTTTTAAATTTTTTATCTAGGCCCGGAGTGACCAATGTTCGGGCTGGTCTTTATTAAAATAAAACTCAATTAAAATAAAACAAAATGAAACGGAGGCTTGACGAGTGAAACAAAATAAAAATAAAATAAAAAACGGAGGCTTGACGAGTGAAACAAAATAAAAATAAAATAAAATGAAACGGAGGCTTGACGAGTGAAACAAAATAAAAATAAAATAAAATGAAACGGAGGCTTGACGAGTGAAACAAAATAAAAATAAAATAAAATGAAACGGAGACTTCACGAGTGAAACAAAATAAAAATAAAATAAAATAAAATAAAGAAAATTTACCTTGGAATGGACTGTATGAAATATACCTTCTGGTGCGTCGTTGAAATCACCTTCGGCGCCACCGAGCTCGGATTCAGCGTCGGAGAAACCTGTTGAAACTACCAGAAAGTGCGGAGGCGTAGCGAAGGAAAAGTAAAACATAAAATCAGAATACTCCTGCTGTATACGAGGGTAAAAAAAAAAGAAAACGAGGGTTGACTTTGAGGAGAGACAAAAATGAGGTTAGACGAATTGGCGAGGTCCGACCAAGCGTGTTCGGCGGTTTGTAACGTACTACTACGCGTGACGTCGACAGGGCCGACTCAACGCACCTTTAATCCCCTTCGGGTCTGATGACGAGGTGTGACACAACAAAGTTGAATAATGAAAATTTAAATACTCTTTTTATTTTTAAGAAAGAAGAAAATAAAATGTGCCCGGTGCGAACAATTAACTAAGAAAATCATAGTTTATGATAAATAATATTTCACACAATTGTTACAATGAGTTCACATACCTATAAAAGGGATGATTATAAGTTCATTTCGTCCGGGATGTCCGTTTTTGCGCAAATATTGGAGTTTTGTATTACAGAAATAAGACTCAAGAATATTAGAAAAACAAGACGAATTTATGAATCGGATGAGGAAAGCAGTTTGTGCTATATTAATTCAAGATTGTTACAAACTAAGAAGAGGATCAGAATTTTTGAATTAACTGACGACTTTACTAATTTTCGATCTCATTATGAAGATAACGATCAACAGATTAGGAAAATCAAAAGAAACAAAGGCGAAAAATAGTATACAAAAGCTGGAAATATTATTTTTGCAAAGAAATTTAAAAATAAGGATTGCACATGTGTGAAAATGTACCAGAATCCTATTACAGAGAGTGATAGAATATCCCTTTTTGTTTTGGGAAATGGGGGATTTTAACAAATGAAAAATTCTTATGTGCATCCACTCAGCGTACGCCAGTAAAACGAAGACGAGCTTGAAATTTCAAATGACCAGACAGAGATTGAAGTTATGAATACTTTTTAAATATCAAAAAGGAAAGCATTGCGGTAGCATAGGCAGATTACATAGGGCTCTCAAAGCAAAGGTAATAGGAAAAGACATATGGGGAAAAATGAAACGATATTGCAGAAAGAGTGATGAGAAATTAGTGGATGCCGTGAAAGATCATATAAATTTTTTTCCGTACTATGAAATCCAAACAAAAAATATGTGATTTAAACTTAATTCTGATTTAAACTTAAGAAAAATGTACAACGTATATATCAAGAAGTGCGACGAGAACAATACATTTCTCAGCGAGCAAATATATAAGAAAATTTTTAAGAATAATTTTAATTTACGTTTTCATCACCCACGTAAAAATAGGTGTCAAAAATGTGATTTGCTAAATATGAAAATTAATGCCACCTCGGACCTTAATGCAAAAAGCGGCGTTTTAGAAGAACATAGCATGCATTTAAGCAATGCAAAACTTTGAAGGAAGATCAAAACTTCAACGAACCCAGAAAAATATTTAACATTTTCCATTGATCTACAAAAAGCTCTTCCATATCCCAAATTATTTTTTACTATTTCATACTACAAGAAAAATATGTATGTTCTTAATGAAGGCTTTCATAATTTTTATGACAGTAGAATTCCTGTGTATGCACTGCTGGAGGAGACTGTAGCATCTAGAGGTGCGAAAGAAATAACATCTTGCTTCCAGAAACATATTTAGAATGTTACAACCCAAGACGATATGATAGCATAGTGACAGGTTACTGGACACAATCGAAATATTATGCTCGCTTATGTGTATGATGTGCTTAAGGATTGTTCCATCAGCTGATAATAACATAAATGTTATTGATCACAAATTTATAAAGACTATTATAATGAAATAAAGACTTTCCAAAAAAATAGCTTCATTATGTAAGAAATCAAAGAAGATCTTACCGCTCTGGTGTGAACCCCCTAAAGGAATATTCGCCGAACTCAAAGCATCCACAGATTGGGGAATCAATTGTTAACTTAATCAACAAAAATCGAGGTTTTCCATACGCGGAAACGGATCGAAAGTAAGTTGGGGCAACAGTGCTGATTTGTTACTGAGTTTGTAGTCACAACACAAAACAGTAACCGCAATTCCAGCAAGTTTCGTTTCACTGTTCGACACGGCGCTTA